AATGCATGGAAATTTTATATGCAATTAAATTACATAAATCCTAAATATTAGGCCTAAATATTTTTTTGAGTGTACATGCTGTTTATTTGGTTTGTGAAAGTGAACTATAGAGGTTTCCCTCATTAATCTTTCACTCTGATTCATTTCCTGTTCCTGTAGCAGTAACATTAACACACCAAACTCCCTGAAATGCTAAGGAAGGTGTTACTGCCTCAGAAGCTGAACTGATGTTAATGTTTATCTGTTCCTTGTCCAGTAGGGGGCAGCAACACCAAGAGGCTCCTCAACATGTGGGGAGCTGCTGCTCATGATGAGAGCTGTGAGGGACACGCAGATACTGCATTGATGGGGAGGGATAATCACCAGAGAGGAGCATCTTACAGTGATGTGAGCTGTATTTAAATGGCATGCAGCACTGTCACATTACAGTGTGACGGTAAGAATCAGCCAGTGAGAAACACATTCATGGCTGTTGTGCATTTGAACCATGATCAAGGTGCTATTTGTCTCACTTGTACGTTGCATTGCAGAAATTAAAATTTAATTAAAATAGATGTAAGTGTAAGACATTATCTTGGTGTGCAAACTGTCCCTTTTCATTCATATTAATGGAAAACAAATATCATTAGCAATTCTAGTTGATTTGTATAATATAGTTTCCAGAATAAACAGTATTTTGAGAAAGTGTTAGAAAGTGTCTTGTGCATATACAGTTTATGCAGAGGTGAGGGTCTACTGAGGTCTAAGCACAATTATTGACAGTGGAATTGAAATCTGCCCTGTTACCATTATATCATGTTTCAGTATAAAAACTTTAGTTTTTTTCCACAGAATGTTAGGCTTTTGTTTACTGATAAATGGAGTATTATTGAAAATGCAGATCACAGACTGTGTGACTCGTCATACACAATGTTAATAAAAACGCTTTTTATTACTCCTGCATGCTGCAGTGCTGTCAGTGTGTAACATGGACGCCTCATACTGTCAGGGGTTTGGGTTTGAATCCTGCCCCTGGCTCTCAGTGTGTAACATGGACGCCTCATACTGTCAGGGGTTTGGGTTTGAATCCTGCCCCTGGCTCTCAGTGTGTGACATGGACGCCTCACACTGTCAGGGGTTTGGGTTTGAATCCTGCCCCTGGCTCTCAGTGTGTGACATGGACGCCTCACACT